AGAGTTCACTGAGGAGCTCAAAGTGAGATCTAAAGTATTATCTAAAGTTAACTGGGTAAAGAAGAGAGAGAAAAGCACTTTAAGAAAGGGACATTCATGTGCAAAATCCCTGTGATGAGAATAGGTCAATGTGACTGAAATAGAGATGGCAATTGGAGAGAGTTTGAGAGATGCACAGAAGCTAGAACTTTCAGTTCAAAACCAGTTTCACCTAAATCCCATATGCAATGAAATGACCAGGAAGGGTTTTAATAAAGTAGTTGACATGGTCAATGTTACTGAAACAAAAGGTTGACACTATTATGTTTTGAAATTTTTCTGGATGAGTTCAAAGAGTGTGTATGAAAGGGGTCAGAGGGCATGCTGAGAGGTGATGCAGGAGGGTGTTTGCCTGGTCCAGGCAATCAAAGATGTTACTTTTCATTAGTGGATGTGGCAATTGTGATAAGGATGGAGAAAAATGAGCAGGTTCTATAGATATTTTGAGGATAATATCAGTTGAAATTTATAGGGTCTGGGGATATGGTATGAAGGTACAAACCTCATCTAGCACACATAAGACCCTGGGTTCAAGCCCCAGCACTACAAAACCAAATTACATTACAAAAACAAAATTGTAAAACATTACAAAACAAAATTGATTTGTATTTAAGGTAGGTATTGGTAGGGAGTGAGGGTGGGAGGAAAGAAAATACGAGAATAACCCTGGAAAAACGGGATTGATAAGGTATATAAGTTTTCTTTTCTTGATTGTATGTGCACAAGCCTCAGATAATTAAACCAATGTTTCCAAGTTTGAAGAATTAATCTATGGCACAGCTAGAGTTGAATCCAAGTGAGACCAACAATAAAACCAGGGATGTATTCATGATTGGAAAGATTTAACATGCTTTGCAAGAAAATAAATTTGAACTAGGAAATGAGACTCTTCAAAAGAGATTGGTGTCCTTTTTGGTAAAAGAAGAAGTCCTGGTACTTTGATAAACCCCCAACTCTAGACCTCCTCCTGCACTTTTATCTGCTCCACACACTGTGGCATGTTACCTACCCTCAGCCTCCAATAAGCCAGTTAGCACATGGCTCTGGAAGGAGTGTGAAATGTCCACTGCATTGCTTTACAAACTTTCTAAACCCCATCATGAGAAAAGACAAAAGACCCAGACAGCAGAACAGAAAACACAGGAATAGTATTTTAAAATAAAAGTACATAGCAGTTTATCTCCACAACTCTCAAACTACAAAGGGATGAGGAAAAACTACCAGTAGCCACAATTGTCACAGTGGTATTTCCGTAGCCTGAAATACCTGAGACCAAAACAGTCAGAGCAGTAAAAAGAGGCATGGGCCAATTGCAGAATAGCACTGGGAGAGGGACCACCTAATGCAATAGTGTTTCAGTAAAAGGGATGTGGTAAGTACCAGCAGGCTAGAGCAGTTGATGTAATTCTGAAACTTGTACACTCAGAAAAATGAGAAATTATACCCCATTTGATTCAAATGGATGATATATCAAGATCATTGTATTATCATGCGCAACTAATAATAATAAAAAATAGCCACCCAGGTTTCCGTTTCAGGTAGATTAATATGCAAAGGAGAAACTTCTGAAGGTAGAATGAAGATTAGTTAGATGACTAAAATTGTAGATAAAGGGAAGGTTCTTTTATAAAAGCTTCCCACCTAAAATAATAGAAATAAAATTATACCTTATAAAACCCCCAAATTATTACGGGATCCCATCATGAAGCATCAATAGCTTCGAACATCACAAAAGAGAGGAATTCCAACACAATTGCCTCCCACTATAAAAACACACCATGACATATAGTCTGGGGAAAAAAATGGATAGCAATTAAGTTTGATCAGAATTTGTCTTATCTGATTCCATTTATAGCAAATACCAAGAACAGAGGAATATACTGAACTGAATCTTGTGTTGACATTCAGCAAAATCCAGACTGTGGGGAAATATTCAGGTCAAATGGTCCTCAAACTTCTACAGAAAAATTCCAAAGGAAGAAAAAAAAAGATCTCTTTAGAACCATAAAAGACATATCGATTTTCTTTAAGTTTGCCAGTCTAAATTGAGGCTCCTAAGAATATTCACTAGGGGGATAAAAGCATGAAGAAAAGTCAAGAAAGTTAATGAAGAAAGTATAAATTATTGGTTAAAATTGGGACAGAGAGGGCTGTGATTGGATGGTGAGTTAGCATTTCATCCCTATGACAAGTGCCTGAGAAAAACAACTCCATGGTTTTGAAGGTTTCAGACCATGTTTGGCTGACTCCAAGGCAGAAACATCATGGCAGAAGGGTGTGA